GACCCGGTCCGGGGGTCTTCGGGGCTTCGGGTCTTCTCTTGGGCTTTGGGAGAGGCATAGAGAGAGGCCGACGCTGACGATGTTGAAGTTGGAGGGCTTTTGGATGTTGTCCAAGAGATTCTGGGAGGATCATGACGGCCTTGTGAACTACAAGGAGTTCCTCAGGCTGCGTTGCCTCCTGTTGCCTCCTCGCACTTTCAGGCTTTGTCAAGATGAGTTCATCTTCGTTGCTGCTTTGGAGGTGGCTGAACAACCCATACTTGCACCACAGCTACAACGATTGATGCCTCAGAATGAGGCGAGCACACGGGCTGGAACAAGTTGAGTGGCTGCCGTGGCAAGCCTTGTCCACGCATGCTCTTTGTCCGATGAGGCTCACTGGAGAGCCAGCGGGCAGATCTTGGCTGGGCAGCTTGCGACGCTTGGTCCAAGGCTGAGGGCCGGAGAGTCAGACGACTGCATGTAGCCGGCTGCTTCATGACCGGCTGCGCTGTCTGTTTTCTCTTCGTGGCTCGAACATCTGTTTGTCGCCGTTTCGCCTGTACAAGTCACAACCCGAGGTGTTGAAACATGGCCCTTGGCATTACAGGGTAGTTACTTGACGTCCCGTGCTCAGGATGTCAGGCGCTGCTGAGAGCCGGCAAAGGAGCTTCATCTCTCAAAGCAAGATTTAAACTGCAATTGTACTGTAGACATTTTGCTTGTCCAGATGCCAGAGGGATGGCTCTACCTTTTTCATCCTTCTGGTGGACACTGCAAGCGGCTTCTGGCCCGAATAAGAATCAAAAGCATAAGCAATGCTGTAGACAAGGTTTTGCAGCTTTGTTTTCTTGACATGGCAAGGCAACCGGGCCGCTAGAGTTGTCGTCGCAGCACGCACAAATTTGTGTTGCCACAAGAAGCTGTGTTTCACTCCCCTCCCCCCAGGGCCTGCCTGACAGCCAGATATCGCACATCAAGACGCCCTGTGAGGCAAACCGCCCCGTGTTCACTTGTGAAGCTCATGTTTTGGAAGCGGTTCAACAAGTCTGTCAAGTTCATCCCTAACAGCATCCTCATATACATTGAGGGCACGGCCGGGGCTTCTGGTAAAGCTGGGCATTGGACAACAACAGCGCAGGGTACTGCAAGGTCTGCCAGCACCAGCACGATTGTGTAACTTGTGGGACATATGTTTGTTCCGGACATTTCCGGATGTTCCGGGTCGCCAGCCATTGCACACTTCAGCCTGAGGCTGCTTAGTGCCTAGTGCATACCGAATGGACATGGGTGCTCGATGGCCTGTAGTGAGAGCTGAATCCTGCTTGCAGAATGCGTTTGAGCTAGCGGTTCACAGCGGCTGCTTCAGCATGCCAAATCCCGATTACCAGACCTTGTACAAGCGACTATCTTTCTGTCGGAACGATGGGCCGACGTCCGGGGGCTTTCTCTGCAGCTCTCACACAGGAGATTGAAACTGGGAATCCGGGGCTGCAGCCATAGATCCAAAGATGCTTTGTGTCCAGTGTCTATGCAGGACACGTCCCCATTGCATTCAAATCTCAGTGTTGCCAAAAGCTACTTCATAGGAGGATCGGGAAGTGCAAGCAGAGCTGCTCGCTCTGCGTGGCCAGCTGCCCAAACACCCGGAGGCTTGAATCTCGGTGAAAGCGATTCAAGAGTCTCATGCACTGGGCACGCTCGCTTCTAGGCCTCCGAGCCGGAAGAAGAACGCCACAAGGACCCGTCAAGCTACCTGCTACCCTGCTTGCTTGAATCACATGTGCGCATATGTGCGCCGGATATGAGTGACATGAGGCAGTTGCGGCCGATGCACACAGGACATCCTAGATGAGGCGGGCTTCGTGCTCGACGAGAACCCTGCATACTTGGCAAGATTCTGATTCGTACAAGAAGAAGACTGTATCAGCTGGTTTTTATCGTAGTTTCTTTTCGCGCCAAGCCCTGCCAGAGCCGTTGTGGCATGTCACATGCTGCGAGTAAGGAAGAACCCTCTTGTCTATGTGTCGGGGGAGGAGGCAGGTCGAACAGATGGCATACCTTATGTGGTGACATACAAGACCCTTGGCCGAAGAGATTTTCGTGTCCCCTTGGACAGCCATTCTTTCTCGCCACAGCGCTGCCTTCGAACCGGTGTTCATGTTCTGGCCAAAAGTTTAGTGTGGTCGCATCGTAAGACAGGACAGCAGTAGGAGATGTGAAGCACCTTGATTCGAGTGGTGGACCCAAAAACACGTTGCATCTTGTCGAAGGAAGGTGGCCATCAGAAAGACCCCATCAACGGAGTCACACGTGCTGGGAGCGTTTGAAGTCGGTGATCAGTTGACTCTTTTTGCTCCTTGTCTCCTGAACGTGTTTCATCGCTTGTGTCGACTTGAAGTGGCGCCCCATGCTGACATTGCATCCTGTCTGTGATGAATGTGCCGTCGAATCAAGGATAAAGATGTCACGGGAGCCTGGCGAAAGCTTCATTTTAAGCTCAAGGGTGGCTACGGAAATGTGGTGGAGGCTTCTGTGTTGAGTTGTCATTTCTCGACTGTTGTGGCTGTCGGGTTTGCAGCTGACCACAGGCTTGGGTGATGCTCCGGCATGCCACACTCGGAACCCTGGTTCAGAGGGCAGATGGGAAGAGCGAGGCCGAAGCCAAGGAGTTGATCGGGGATGATGTGGCCATTCTCCTTGCAACCTTTTGGTAAAACGCCCGAACAGAGCCAGTCCAGACACCAGGCCACATAGGCCATGTGGTGCGATTAAAAAGAAGCAGCACAGAGCTGACAGCCTTCATGCAATGCGACCATCGTGGCCACAGCAGAAAATTTCCCTGAGGGAGCTGTAGAACAGAGCTTTGCTCTGCTTGGCAGCTCCCCACCCGGGGCGAAGTCTCAGTTAAATGTCCATGGATGTGGATATCGCCTCAATGACTCAAGGCAAGCCCTTATACAGCTTATACAGCCCTGCACTGCGCTGAGCCTGTGCGATGCCGAAACCTCTCCATATCCGCATGGGCTCTCCGGTCCTTGTTTGAGATTTTCAAGTTCCTGCTCTGTTCTGTGTGCTTGTTCTTTTCGGTTTCTGTGTTTTAATCTGTACTGAAGCATGCAATTGTCGTTTCTTCTGCCTGGGTCTGCTGATGTTGCGAAGTAGTATGAGCTTCCGGGCACGTGTAGTTCTGAATAAATAAGTAGCGTTGTTGAGCCCGTGCGGCCTGCAGGAGCCTGTCACCACAGAATCCCCAGCCACGCCGGCACCAGCACCTGTGAATGCTGAGGAGGGTTTGGGCGAGGGACCAGAACCCGAGGCCTGCCATGCCGAAAACAGCCTAGCCGTGCCTAGCCATGCGCACTGTGTCCTCCGAAAGCAGCTAAGGAGCATAAAGTTTGTCATCCTGAGTTGGTGAATGATAAGACACAACATGAGATAAGACAAGATGCAAATCGCCACGCAAGGGTACCCGGCCCTCACAGGACCTGGACAAGACTGCTCGAGCAGCAGCCTTGGCAGCTGAGTTTGGTGAACGACTTACGCTGATGTCGGGCCAGGACCTCCTTAAGATCGTGCTAGTAGCTAGTAAGATTGTAGCAAGAATGGCCGGCGTTGCCGAAACATTAGTGCTTCCCGGTGCTTCAGTGGGCCTCAAGGACCTGCGCAGGTTCATGCCCACCGAGAATCGCCGAAGCTTCGAGGTGGTCCGAAAGCCCATGGTGGCTGTGCGAACGTTGCCTCACAAAGATGCCCTGATTGCCGCTCAGATGAAGATGCCAGTTTTCCAACAGCGCACTCCCCACATACCTGTAAGTATTGTGGGTATTTGTGAGGACCTGGAGGGACCTGTGGGTGCCTGTAGGTACCTGTGGGACCTGTGGGTACCTGTGCATACCTGTGTGGGTACCAGTAATTACATGTAGGTACCTGGGGGTACGTGGTACGTGTGGGCACTTGTGGGTACTTGTGGGTACCTGTGGGTACCTGTGGGTTTTGTGGGCACTTGTGGGTACCTTCGGGTGCCTGTGGGTACGTGTGGGTGCTTGTGTGTACTTGTGGGTTGTGTTGATATCTGTGTGTTGGACTCCTTGCTCCTAGGAGGAGGAACCGCGCAAAGTGGTGCGTGTTGTGCCTGACTACCTGAGGTGACAACGGCGGAGCACGGGCAATTTGTGGACACTTTTGGAACTGATGAGACGGGTGAGTGGCGCAAGGCAGGGGATGCATTGGAGGCATTCGAGTTCATTGCATTTTCGATCCTTTTCGGGGTTTTTAGGGGGCCTTTGGACGGCCGATTGAGAGCCCTTGGCACCTTTGTAAGGATATGTCCAGCTAAGGTCTTCTGCTGCTGCACATCATCCGGGCGTGAGGCGAGCGTCTTGGGACGGGCAAATACTCCGCAGCCAAACGTGTCTGCTTGTGTCTTGCTTCACTTTGACAGGATGCACCACTTCCTGATACACCCTTAGCAGCCTGGATGCTTGAAAAGCATGAGACCTTGGGTGTCCTGCTGAGGCGGGGCTTGAGCTCCTCAGGGTTTCATGGATCTCATGGAGGAATCACACTGTGGTACACTGTGCCACTCTGTGCTTCGATTGTTACTTCAACCTGGCGGTCCAAGTCTGGGAAAGGTCGGTTGACGAGACGATGCGGCCCGTTGGATGACTGCAGTGACTGCCGTAGATAGCATTAGCTAGTAGTTCGCCGCAGCTTTCCAAAGTGAAGCTTAGTAGCAGGCACCACAAGAGAGATGCACTGCATTATCGGGCAAGATTGGGCAACATGATGAGGCTTTGCAGCACGCATCATTCCCAAATTTGCATGAACTATAGGCCCCGATTTAGGCGTAAATCGTGACCTCCAAGCCCAAGACAGTTCAATGTCCAAAATCCGAAACCCCAATCAGCCAAGGCTAAAGCCGGCATAGCCTATGTATCTCCAAAGCTTGCCTCATACTTCCGAGATCTCTTGAATGCATGTACCGGCTTAGCTTCAGCCTGGCTTTTCCGCTTTCCAAGGTCTCGCGTCTCTCTTGGGCTGTGGCGAAGCTTGCCTTCGCGGACACGGCTGTCTCCGGTCCCCTGGCCGAGCAAGCTGTAACTTGGCGGCCAGTGGACCTCTTTGCCCTCAAAAACTAGTTGCAGCCAGGGCCACCGGCAAAGGGAGGTGGGGGGTTGCGAATGCTCACGCACATCGCTGAGCCTTCTTGTTGAGCCCCTGTCATCAGGAGAACAGTGCTAGTTGCCAGAAGTATCGGGACATGCGAAAAGGATGTGCTGCATTCTGATTGCCCGGGCATGTCCTGATGCACGAAGGCTCCACCTGCCCGTAGTGCACCTTGAAAGGCAGCTCGAGTTCGCGAGTTTCAGGCTGTGAACTTGGCGTTCCTGCCTCAGCTACCTGGGATGTGTATCGAGTGTAGTACGCATACACACCAGATTGGATGAAGTCGGCCGTGTAGCAGGGGTCAAAGACCATTTATCCCAGGTTGATCGCAGGAGTTTCCAAAACCTGACTGTCGGTCCTGTCCTGAGAGCCCACCGGGCTCGAGCTTGTCAGCAGTTCTACCATCATGCCAAAATCGCTGACATGTGAGCTCAGACCGTGACAACTGCCACACCCTCCACACCATGCTGGACTGTTGAGCCCCAACCGATATCAACCGATGACAAACACCTGACACCTAGCAGTCGAATTGCACTCCCCCGCTAAAGTTATCAGGTGCACACATATACAGACCACAGATGGTAAAAATTGATGTCGTGGCTGCCTGCAGTTCTGGCTCTCTATCTGGGCAGCTATCCATCAGCAGGGTGGACCGAGTGTTCCCTGAACGATGTAGTGGACTTAGGCCCAAAGGCGCAGTTGGACAACTTCTGGCAGGACTATGTCCTCAATTGGTCCAGCCTTCATATTGACTCGGGCGCTTCCTTGGAGGATGCGCGCTTCTTTGCAAAGTGGACTCGCATCTTCACTCAGAGCACGGAGATCCTGGCAGGTGTGGCCAGTGATTGTCTTTTTGGCATCTTGACGGTCTTCCTCCAGGGCCTCCCAGCCATCGACTACGAGGGAAGCCGTGCTGAAGCCTTGGATGTTCTCCAAGTCAGTGGCGAGATCCTGGCTAGCATCTCCCCAAGTGAGATGGAGGACGTGAAGGCGAAGGCTTCGGAGGATGGGTGGGAAGTCGAGAGATTGCTCAGCACTTTCCAGCTTTACCGCGCAGTGCTGGGTCCCGCTGGTGACGCTCCTTGCTCAGGCCCCAAGATCTTCGTGTATCCGGCACCTGCGTTGGGGGATGACCTGGTGCCAGCAAAGCTTCTGCATTCCGGCTCCGCCGGATATCTGGCGGCAATGACGGCCAAGCCTCTGCAGTGCCTATTCGGCATGTACGGGACTGAGCTGTTGTTCCACAACCGGTTTGAGCAAGAGGCCGCTGCCTGTCAGACAACTGACCCCGCAGATGCAGACGTCTTCTTTGTACCGTCGTACTTTAAGTGCATCGAAGTTCTTAACTATTTCGATGCTTTTGACTCAGAGGGCAACGAGGCGGAGACCCTGCTCCAGAAGACGCTGCATCATCTTCGAAGCTTTGGCCCATGGTTCGATCGCAGGGACGGAGCAGACCATGTCTTTCTCTTCAGCTGGGGTCGCCATCCCTGTCGTATCCCTGGCTGGCGTGCAGGAGTACGCTCAGCAATCCGCCTGCAAGTAGAAAATCATTGTGAAGACTTAAACACTGATGGCCCTGAGCCTTCCTTCAGCCGCTGGAAGGACATCATCATTCCAGGACATGTGGACCTTTGGAGGGCAAGGGAATTGCTCAGCAAGAACAGGCCGCTAGAAGAGAGGGATGTTTTCATTTGCTTCCATGGCCGCCATGCAGGAAACACAGACAGCTACGCAAATGTTTCCGTGCGCACGCTTATCATGGAGAAGCTCTCGGGTCAACCAGGTGTCAGCGTTGGTGGTTTCGTCGAGGAGTATCATGTGCTGATGGGGCGTTCTTTGTTTTGCTTGGCACCGCGAGGTATTACTCCATGGACCATCCATCTCTTTGTCGCATTGCTGGCAGGGTGTATACCTGTCATTTTGTCCGATGACTTGGAAGCTCCCTTCCAGGAACTACTGGATTGGCCTCAGTTCTCGATCAAGTGGCCTACTGAGCGGATAGGTGATTTGTATGGCTACTTGAAATCGATCCCAGTACCAGAGCTTCGCCGCCTGAAGAGGGGCGTGGATGAGCATTCCTGCTGGTTCGACTACTACTCAGAGAGAGAAGGCTGCAACCCTTTTGCTGCAGTGATGACCCTCTTGCGACAGCGAGTCGCACAGCGCCCCCGTTTCCTCGGACTTGCCTGGGGTCCAAAACTGCAGGGGGGGGGTTGGGTGCAGCCTCAAGCAGTTGCTAGAGAAATCATGTGCCATCCTGATCTGTTTATTGCCGGTGTTGGAGTGCACATTGTTGGGCTAGGAATGTCCTCTGGTCCAGTGCCAAGCTCTTGAACAAAAACGAGAAGTTGGTGGACAGCCTGTCCGTGACTCAGAGCATTGCGCGGATTTCTCAAGTAACACAGCCTGATTCTGCATAATTCGCAGGCTGGTTCGCGGCTCTCGTTTGCTCAGGTGCGGCGCATCCGTGCGGCGTGTTGAAGAGTTCAATGCGCTAGATTCCCAGACCACGGGCTTCTGGGGCGTCGGCGTAGAAGGCTTGAAGAGGTGGCTACGCTCAGCAGCCTCTTGGACTGTCCTCCAAGGCAGAACCTGGCGAACACCGTGTGGGCCATTGCCACGCTGAACTACACGTGGCTTGGCGCTTCGTAGTCGCATGTAGTCGCAAGCGTGGGACGTGGGTCGGTGGTTTTCATTCTGCAGCTCCCGTTCTCGACAGGTCGCAACTTGATTGGAGGGCAAGTTTTGCTAGTTCTGCTGCAGCAAAGGCTCACCGAAAAGATGAGCGCTTTCATCGAGCCTCCGCTGAAACAATTCGCGCGCGAACGCGTGAGCTTTCGTGTAGAAGTAAGTCTCAAGTCTAAATTCTGTCATGCCAGCCTTCCGAAGCCCCAGGAGCAGAGCATCCGGAAGATCCATGAGCCAGTGGGCCAAGTGTTAGCAGCTGTTAGCATGCTCAGGCAGGTCTTTTGTTGGAGCCGAGATCAGGCATGCGACAATTTCACTGCTTCATGCCTTTGGCATTTTACTAAGATATGCCTTTGGCATGTTACTGAGATGTGTTGAGGTTCGGCCCACAAGGTCTGGCCAACATGTGCTGGTCCCAAGTTGACGGTGCTTGCAGGGGCATGACTTGTGCAGTTGAGACAGGGTCCAGATTCTCAAGGGCTTGTGCATGCCTCGCTTGCCCGCAAATGTCTGCACATGCCGGCCCTTTCTGCACTCAGATCGGATGCAATGTGCAACAGTAGCCGCTGATTGACAACACCGAAGTCAGTCGCAACTCTAACCCGTATGTTCAGGAGCCTGATGCGCCTAGTAGGTATTCGGAGTTCATGTAGTTCGCGCCGCCATGGAGGCATTCGAAGGCGCGCCTCTGAATCACATAGCCGCTCGGCGAAGACAGGTGTTTCACAGCCGTGGCGTTCAATGCCACTCTGACGCAGATTTGGTGAGGTGCCGGCCCTTCCAAGGCTTTCCCACATGTCGTGAACTAGAGCGAGTTGGAGAAGTCTTCAGGACAAACATATTCAGGCAAATAAAAGACAGTCTCAACTGCCACAAGCCCTAACTGGCTCTCTGCCGAGGCGTTCGCGGACGGCCGTTTCCGAGCTTCCAGGCGCCTGGTGGCAGGTGAGCCACTGCTGGCCCTCTCAGAGAGGAGCTGCAGATGTAGCAGATGCACGCAAATCTTGGGATGCTGCATACTCCGTAATTTCTGTGACAGATTCTCCAGATGTCCCAGAAGACACAGAGGTTGGTGCAGCACAGACCCGCTTGTTGCAGGAATTGTTGGACTGCAAGTGTCGCCCGAAGATGCCCAACCTTGCGGAAGTTTTTAGATGCTCGGCCTGGCATCTCAGGGCTTTTTTAACGCCCCTTTCGGCCGCTGTGTTGTTGGCCACTGCGTGCTTGGCTGAGGATGAGGAAGCTTCAGATTCCATCTGGATGGCCTTCCACATCCTGCTCGCGCAAGACGGTCTGTTAGGTGAGCCCTACACTTCGCAGATCGCACTTCTCCAAGATTCGCCAGGAGGACGTCCAGGGTTGCGGGCCTCCAGTTTATCTGCGGTTGGTGAATGGGATAAAAGGGGTCTCGGAGTTCCGCATAAATCAATGAAGCTCGGAAAGCAATGCAATGCATTACACGAAAGTCGAAGCACCTCTTCTATGAGTTCTGCCAACGGCCAAGCCAGCGGCCAAGCAAACGCCGAGCCTCCTTGGACTCCACCCCAAACTTCTGTGGGAAGCTTGCCAATCCGAGCGCGGACACTTAGTGGACTCAGCCGAATGCAGGACTGCTCCTCTGGGAGGAGGAGGACCTGTCTCAGCTGCAGGGGAGTCGATGGCTGGACATTGCGAAGCAAGGCGTGCGCCCGTGTTGAACAAAAGGCACTTCTGGAGGGCTTGGGGCTCTAGGGTGCCCCTTCGCCCAGGCCGGGAGGAGATCCTCGAGGACTGTAGAGCCGTGTAGAGCTTCGTAGAGCTTCGAAGAGCCTCGTAGAGCCTCGTAGAGTTCTCATGGGCTTCTCAAAAGTTGAGAGTAGGTACATTCGAATTCACCCATGCTCTTTATGCTCTTATTGGAGCACGGAGGAGTTCGACACCCTGTGGAATCTCCTCGACGAGGAGGGCCGAACGGAACTCCGCGCTTCACCAGAACGGTACCTCTGGGCGCAGGCGGAGTCCATCTCGAGGGGGTTTTCAGGGACGTGAGGAGTTCCGCATGTGTGCACATCGGCGTGGATACTCAGCAACTCTTTGCATCTTGGGTCGCCAGGGTTTCCATAGATTGCCGATTGCGTGTGACGGCTTGCAGGCGATGCTGATGCAGTGCCTCATCCGTTTTCTGCGATCCGATGGGACGGCTGTCGAGATCTTCTTGCCGGCGCTTGTCATGCTCGAACCTCGATGGTTGCTTTCAGAATCTGTGTCCTTTTGAAGTCTCCTAGCATTAAGGTATACTCCTTGTACCAGCAGCTTGTTCATGCAGTTCATGCGGAGGAGGCGGAAACCTCGGGTTCCATTGCGCTGGAAGCTGCAGGGCTCGCGCGCTTGGAAGCCTTTGGTCAGGAGAGGTCTGGGTGTGGGTGCCTCGTGGATTTGGATTCTTTTTTGTGCCTGACGGGTGGTTTTGGGAGTTGTTCAATTGCGCGTTGTGTGTTGAATGTGTAGGGCCGTTTGCAGCATGCACAGTGCGGTCTCTAAAATAGGCCCTACTTGTGAGGAGTCGCTGCTGGTTTTCTACGCGCCACGAACCTTTGATGAGGGTGATGCCTTGCAGCATTTGAACACCCAGACTGAGCTGTGCACGGCCCCAGATTCAAGCGGTACCCAGTTCTCTGTGTTCATGAGGACATTGTGCAGCTTTGCCATGGAGGCCAGTGCGGCAGTCGTGCTGAATCCTGCAAGCGGTTAAAAGCAAGCGATGGATCTTAACATTTCTTAACACAATTGCCCCAATTGCATGGCGAAGTACGTCGGAGCTAATTCGAGGCCTCGCCTGCAGTGCGGGGAGGGCGCTCTTTGAGCGGGGGCACTTCGCGCCGCGTAGCCCGGCCGGCCACTTCGAGTTCGCTGCTCGCTCGGACTTGGTGCAAAGTAGACCAGCAGCTTCGGCTGGCAAAGGCTTGCGGCGGGTCACAGATGCCAGCTTTGGTGGGTTTTGTTGTTGTTGTTCGCGTTCTCATGTGTGAAGAGTGTGATGTCCAGTACACCCTTTTACTCAGCACGTCCGTTCGGTGTCTGGATTGTTTGTGAGGCAATAACGGTCCCGGTTCCGCCGGCGGTATTGGGGCAAGTCACCAAGAAGGCCTGTCCAAATATGGCCGGTTGAAGCATGCCCATTCTTGTTTGGCCTCCGCTGGCTAGGTCGATGCGGTAGCTGCGTGGGAAGACTTTCAGCCCGGACAGTTCCTCCCTGCAGAGGCTGGTTGGATCTGACTGTTTGCTGACCTCGTGGCACAGTCAATCCTAAGGTCTTAAGGCCCGTGGCGCCCAGATTAAAGGCAAAACGCCGCCGGCGTTGAAACCACAAATGATGGTGTATCGGACTGGCTCCTGGATTCTTGCACCTCTTGCTCAGTCCCTGGGTGGTAAAGCCTTAGAAAGCTGGACTGATTCAAGGCATCATGATGCCCGCAAAAACCATCTACCTATGACGACGATTGGTATGCCTTTTCCTTCCCCTGAGACCCGTGCAGTGTATTTTAGGGTCGTTACGTCTGACGCGTCACCAGGCCGTGGAGGAGTGGCAGCCTGCTGTGTTGGCGGAGGGCACGTTGCAGCTGAATGTGAGGCAGGAGGGGGAGAGTGAGCGAGAGCTTCTGGGCAAAACCTGCGGTCCACGGAGAAGAAAACGAAAAGGCATCAGAGAGAGGGGGGCGCGATTCTGAAAGCTCTTTAGGTCGTTGCCTTAGCGCCTTAGCGTCGCTGATTCGTGAGGATCTCGGAGCGGGATCCACTCCCAGCTCCCGCAGTGCTGGAGCTGCTCAAGGTGGACCCAGCTCAAGCTGAGAGTGTCCTAAACAAGCTGTGGGCTCTCGGCTGTGAAATTTCCAATCTGAGAGTTGAATGTGGTAAAGTTACGTGCGTTCCAAACCAATATCTGAACCTCCTGCTGGCAGTTGGCGCTGAACAAAGAAAGCGAGGAGATCGCCGAGCAAACGGCATGGACCGTGTGCCTTGGCCGTTGCTTGTGTTCATGTCCCCGCCAGTTTGATTGCAAGGCAACAACTCCCGCAATTGACCATTTTCCGGATCCAGAGCTTTGTACTGGGAAAGAAAGATGTGCGCATTTGTCGGTGCCTGCCACACACAACAGCAGACAAAACGCCACAAACACCAACAATGCCAAGAACCTGTGCTGTTTGGTTGGTGCTGTTGCCTGGAGACATGCGTGGCGTTAGAAACACTTCATAATATGAACACAAGGTGATTTATCTGGCAAGGTGGTCTTGGGGGGTGGGCCGGGTGGGGGGTACCAGCTACATGCATACCTTATGTCTTACATGCGTCATGCACGGATGTAGCCCAGACTTGAGAAGCGGGTGCCTGAGAGGCTCCGGCATGGTCTCCTCTCCATCAGCAAAGCCTACCTGGCAGCAGCCTCGCGGCCCAAGGTGCCCAAAAGGGATCCTAGGGATCAACGGGCCCCAGAAAGTCCTTTCGGAACCTAAAATTCCTAAAGGAACCCCTCTCGAAATTCGGCCAAAGGCCCCAGAGGCAGCGACGGCGATCTGCAGGCAGAGGCGGCAACGTGCAAGGGCCTTGGTTGAAGAGGCCACTGGGGTTTTCTTTTGGATGGAGGAGAGCACGGAAGCCTCACGTTTACGAGCAGTGATATTTCAGTTGAAGCATCAGCAGACTGAGTCGGACCGCGCAAGAATCCCTCTAACGTTGCAATGGTTTGTTTTCTAATTGTGAAGCATGAGCTCGCTTGAGACAGAAGACAGGAGAAGTGGCTCTTGGGCCTGGCGCAGACTGCGCTGGAGGTTGGTCTCTTGTAGCGGTTTTGTGGTCTCTTGTAGCGGTTGCGTGGTCAATCCGAATCACTTGGGGGGTGGTCGTGAATTCCCATGCTTCCCATGCCTTGATTTTCAGGCGCCTTCAACCATCCCGAAGCCTCCAGTGTCGTCGCCGATGGTGTTGAACCGAATGGAAGGCAGGCTGAGTCGATTTGCAAACTCACCGGGATCCCCCAAAAAATAATTCACAACGAACAAAGCCAAAACTTCCGAAAACAACTTGAAGCAGTTGCGCAGCAGATGCTTCACAAGCGAGGTGTCATTTGTCGCGAAATCAAAAAGTACACGATATCACGGGGGGCGTTGCACTATTTTATCCACAGCCATGTTTGCGCGGGTTGGGCTTGAGTTTGTGTCAGTGTGGAAGGCTTGGTTGGGGGGGGGGGGAGGACAGGGAACATGGGGACGATGCCAGTGGCAAATCGAGATTTTGGATGCTCTTGTTTTTCTGTTGTTGCGTTTCGCCCTTTTGGTTTGACGGAATTCCGCGGCTTCAACAAGTGCTGCAACACATGTTCACCAACCTGGCTGCGCGAGATGCAGCCGCCCCAACCTTCGAGCCATGAAG